TATACCTAATAAAAAAAATTAATGAGAATTTAATCCTATGATTTTGAATTTCCCGTTTCGAAATATCCTTCGCGTGGGGTAGTCAGGTACAAATTCGGCAAAGGACAGAGGGTGTAACAGTGATATATAGAGAAATATATAGTTTATATATCGTTCCTAAATTGGAAATAAGGCCGTAATATGTTATTTGAAATATGTTTCTCGAATGAAAAAAATCGACTTACTACTTGGGTTATTGCTGTAACGTTTCAAAATGAATTATTCAGTATTGAGTCAACTGCCGTTTTCGAAACCGTAAACCAGTCGGCGCTCTCTGCGATTCGATGGAAACACAAGAGTTTTCCCGATTTACAATGTTGAACACGTTTCGTTGAAATTATCATTCCCACAAACGTCGTTCGACACTGACGTAGTTTCAGCGGAAATGAAAAAAAAAAACGAATTAAACTTTCCAAGTTTTACAATGTCGAACAATTTTACAGTAACTCGCACCCAGCCGAAATGTCTAATATTTCAATTAGAAATAAAGTTAGCTAACTTATCCATCTGAACAAACTCTTGCAGTTCTGTGTTGCATGCAAACTAAATTATTCCTAAATATACTAGTTCTTCCCCCCTATCAGTCACTGTGAGCTCGAAACTGTTAGCACCATTGCTTCCAGTGGTCGAAATTCACTTCTGTGAACAATACTATGACGTAGTGTCGGCCATCATTCTTTTTCAATTGTTATTGCATTGTCACTGACGTCGGCCATTATGGTTTTTTAATAGATATATAGTAATCAATGATTAAAATTTAAAGGAATTGTTTGTAAATAGGTATGCAACACATCGTACACTTCAGCATAAGAAATTGCTGACACTAACTTTCATGCTGACAGCACTCATTTTTTTTATAAATAATATTCAGTACTTCTATAAAAACAAATTTATTTATACATGTCAAAATAACAATACAAAAACATTAAAGCGCATTCATAAATACATGAAATGTTTATAATTTATTACATTTTTAATTACCAAATAGGTGCTGATTTCAAAATTGGAGCAGGGGCAGCATAGGACAGGTGAGCTGCCTTATAAATAGGTGCTGGCGCAGCATAAGACAATGCGGGTGCAGCGTAAGAGATAGGAGCAGCAGCTTTAAGCACTGGAGCAGCTGCGGCATAAGAAATAGCTGGGGCACCGTAAGAAATAGCTGGTGCACCGTAAGAAATAGCAGGAGCAGCCTTGAAAATTGGCGCAGGCGCAGCATAAGAGATTGCTGGGGCAGCTTTAATAATTGGCGCTGGAGCAGCGTACGCATAGGACGCTGGAGAAGCGTAGGCGTAGGATGCTGGAGCTGCATAAGTTAAAGGTGCTGGAGCGGCGTATTTAACAATTGGGGCTGGCGCGGTATATTTAACGACAGGAGCTGGGGCTGCATAAGTTACTGCTGGAGCGGCAACAAGGGCAGATTTCGAGAACTGTAATAATTTCAAATCTTAGTTTACTAAAACGTTACAGAAATGACATAATTTGATGATACAAAAATTTATTAACATTTTTACAATAGCATACGATATTTCCGGTAAAACTAATAGAATATTTTATTTAAAACAAAATATTTTTAACTTTAAGTGACTGGTGGAGTAAGGATAAAAATTTATCTAGATGCAATCATATTAATGAGAAAAAATTGTTTTCGGTGGTAGAGTACTGGTGCGTAAAACCAGGGACCCGGGTTCTATTCTCGGCGAGGGAGTAACAGCATTTCTAATTAATTTAGGGTTATCTGTAGTGGGTACAAGTTAATTAAAAAAACTAATACACCAGGACATTGAAAATTTAAAATGTGTGTAATTACTAAAATGTATTTTGACTATATCAGTATCGAAAAATTGCTGAGAATAGAAAAGACTTGTTTTAGGATTGAGCTTTTTAAAAATATTCTAAGATTGATTAATATTAGATAATGTTTTTGACATTATTAGAAAGCCTTTAAATAGTTTTAAGTGCTTATATCAGAAAATAGTTTATCAGAAACCTCCACGGCTTTCTACCTTACTTCGTCGCGGCTTCTATTTAAACTGAAGACCACTTAATTCATTAATAAATTAACTAAGGTAAGAACCGACCTGGTTTTTAATTAAATAGTCAGCTGTTTTTCTTACAACTAAGTATGCATTGAATTCTTATATCTGACGAAATATGAGATAATCTGATAAAACTGTGTCGAATAACTACATCAGTTATAACTAATTTAAAGGTTACAAAGCACATTTCATGAATTAAGACATGAAAACAGTGAACATATCGGATATAACATCTGGCAACATTTTATAATGAGACGAGACACTTTGCGCTAAATAGAAGTCATTCCTTGATGCGAATTCGTGACCAACGTAATCTCGGGTGTGGTGACTATTATAAATCTCACATGTCATGCCACTTTCAATTGACTATTTAAAACTTTTACACGTATTGACCAAACGGTTCGCAACAATTTCACACTGGAGTAACAGCCGGAATTTGCTTACTAAATGAAGTTGCAATTTAATTAGAAATGAGTTACACGCAAAGCAATTATTCTAAATTTACTTTAAAGTATATGTGGGTATGGTGTTAAGTAACTACCTACTTTATTTTTTTTGTGAAATTTTAACTTCTTCAATTTATCATTGTAATGTATTAAATAATGCTATAGACAAAGAGTAAAAATTGCAATTTACCTACGAAATCTCGCCTTATATGTTTCAACTGCATGTAGGTGGTAACAGTTAAACGTAAAATCATGGGCTTGTAAAATGATGTTGACCGCCGCGAATTTTTAACTTTTTTAAATAAACTTTTCAAACTCCCTTTTAAATGTCCTTTTCGAACATAAGTTGATTTTTTAGCATTAATAGACAAGTTATTAATTATTGTTAAAGCACTTTAACAAAAGAAAAGTGTAAAGACGAGAAGCCATCAAAATACCTCTTCCCAAAACTTTTTTAGTTACTTATTGAAGCGAAAAACATTTTCGATTTAATTATGTAGTTGGAGAGAAAAGATTAAAATCTTTATTAATTTTCAAATCAATAAACAAATCATAACCTAACTTTCAAGAAGTGCACAGTTTCTATTTTTTTAAGGTTATGTATCCCATGAATGCTAGGTTATGGTTACTTTAGATTATCCTAATTCTTTTCAATTATACAATTAAATTGAAAAAGAGTTTTCCGCTTCGATGGGGCAAATATATTTTGATTACTAAAAACGTATTTTCCTTGTTGTAATGCTAGTTTTGTTAAATTATTTAAACAATTGTTAATTTGTTAAAGTTAAAAGATACAACTGGAGCAATTTTACGTTCTAGAACGGAAAGGTCATTAATATTACGTTCAATTTAGAAATTTGAAAAATATTGTTAAAGGTATATGTGACGGAAAAATGTATATTTTTCGTAAATATTTAATACTATTTCTTAAGCATTCGTTTTCATTAAAAAAGACGCTAAATATATGTTTGGAGCACGACGCTGTACTGGTGCGAAACATGAGCAGTGGGCGCAGCCGAAAAGAAAATGTTAGAAGCTTTCGAAATGTGGTGTTATAGATGAATGATGAGGATACCGTGGACAGAGAAGATTAGAAATGAAGAGGTATTAGAGAGAATAGGAGAACAATTGACTCTACAGAAGTCAATAAAAAAAAGGCGAGATAGGTTGATAGGACACCTTCTTAAGTATGAAGGTCTAGTCAGAGTCATATTAGAGGCAGAAACGAGAGTTAAGAGTAGTAGAAGTAGACCTAGATTAGGTTACTCTTTGCAAATAGTTAAGGATGTGGGTTGTTCTAGTTTTGGGGAAATGCGAAGATTAGTTCAGGATAGGTAGGAGTAGAAGTGCGTGTCCAACTAATCTTAGGACTAACGACCTTATGATGTTGATATGTCGAAAACATTGAGTTGTATAAGGTTTGAGAGGCAAATTTATTAATCGGATTATTTGAAAAGATGAAATTCTAATACCAAAACAAGATTCTGATAAAAAAGTTAGTGGTAGTGGGTCTTTACTGCTTCTTGCAAGTGTAAACAATACGTTACTTATTGTCTAACAAATCAGTTTTTTTGTTTTTTCGTTTTACAAGTGCTTTTACTCTGAAATTACTAAATATGTTTTAAATTTAAAATTGAGTAATAACAGTTCACTGTGACCATGCTCTGTTCTGGTTTGTTTGGTCTTAATCTATTAAGCCAGCATTGAATTAACTACATTCAATTTCAATTTCCAATCAAACGAATAATCTGTAAATGTTAATATTTATGGATATTCTCACATAGGTACAAGCAAAAAACTCAACAGATCGCAGGAACTTGTTTTTTGTTATTTTGTCACAGATGACGCATAAAACATAAACTGAACGTTACACAACATTTTCTTTTGAGTTATCCGCTTTATTTTAAATAATGAGCACCTAGACACTATCCCTTAACTGAAATTAATTATTATTTACGTAGTTGAAACACTGTAGAAGCAAATGTTAAACAAGGTTTTGCGTTTACTTAAGTTATACCAAATCAATTTTGAATAATAAGAAAAAACAATTTACCTTCAGAGTATTTTGATAAGATGTGGCTGCAGGAATGGCAGCTGCCTTAATGACAGGAGCTGCATAGGCTGCAGCTAATGGAGCAGAATAAGCAACAGGTGCGGAGTACGAAACTTCACCAAGTATACCTGCATTGCAAGCAGCAAAGAACAGAGGAATGATAACCTACAAAGAGAAATAAAAAAGGAACATATATAAAATACTTTTGAATCTATTTATTTGGAATTCAATTTTGAGATGTGACTGACAAACAAGAACCCATTAAAAATTATTATTAATCAAATTTAATAACTAACGTAATGCAATCAGAAGAAGGCTTATGCAGCTGAAACGTTTTTTTGCTAATCGAGTACATGATAATATTATTGATTTAATTAAAAATACTTTTAACCAAATTTTGACTCATTAAAGTTTCTTTTAAACATTGCAAAAAATAATACACATTTCTAAATCTTTATACTTGTATCTTAAAATTTTGTAACTAAACTTTAATTTTTAATTCGTAAACTAATTATCCTTTGTAAATTCTTGTAATTACCGTTGTTAGTGTAAAAATAAATAGTGATAATACTTACGATTCGAAGCATTTTAATTTTTGGCTGTGGCAAGATCTGCAGGTTGTTTGGTAATGATAAGTAAGACGATGGTAGTAGTCTTTTATATAGATATGAGGTCCCTGCAGGTTGTCAAAGGAGTCTCGAAGGCTCTTTAGTCCTCTTCTGGGTCAGGGGCATGATGTAACGGTCTAGTTTTCACTTTCGTTTCGGTGCAATGACTGTACATGTGTTCTGTTGCTTCCTCAGTCGATTTCGACAATTTAGAACACGGTGACAGTATTGCTAAGCCTATGTACATACATAAAGATTGCATGCCTACCTATACCTGTATTTTATGGTACACGACTGGTAATTAATTAGATAATCGACCTAAAACCATTTGGCAGGTATCGTATAGATAAATGGGGCGGAAACTACGCATAAAATTTTAATTTGTCGGTCTTCAAATTTAATCTTGCTCCACGAATTCTGAGAAACTGACCTAGTAAATGAGACGAGAATTGCCATTGACAACGTCTATGGAATGAATATTTTTGAAGAAAAATGTCAGACTTAAGCAAATATGCCTAGAATACGGAAAATATTATGTAATGTACTTTTATTTCTACATATTTTTATATTGGATTTACGTTAAAATTTCATTTTTTTTTTTAATATTGTAAACCTTTTAACTTCTTTTTTCGCTTGTAAAGTGTCTCTAAGTGACCCTTCGTGCCTCAGAAGATGTCCTACCACCCTATCTCTCCTATTTCTTATTAACTTCTACAGCGCCTTCGATTTTCCTACTCTTATTGATACATCTTCTAAAAACTTAATACTTTTGGGTGTTTCATTCCTACTAGCCTCTAATGCCGGTGGGCGGGCAGTCCCTCTGGACTACGCCGAAAGATAGGGCGGAAGGCCCTCTTTAGCCTCCTTTCAGGAATCGTGGAGATGGGTGGGTGGTAGTTCGGATGAGAAAGATGAGATGGACAAAATGAAGACAGAAGAGAATGAAAGTTTATCTATGGAATATTTACTGCCCTAGCATTTGCCTAAGTGATCCAAAGAAACCACAGAAAAACTTGGACCAAGGCAGACGAATCCGGAATCGAACCGCCGTCCTCCCGAATGCTAAACAATGATCTAAACCTCTAGCCCATGCCGCTCGGTGATACTTCCTCATCAACCGTATTTTTATCATTCGTTTATAACACATTTTGAACGCTTCTAACTATCTTTACCGCCGCGCCCACTGTCTATGTTTCGCACCCATACTCAACCGTAGTTCAGACATACACTTTTAGCAATCTTTTTCGAATTTCTGAATAGAAATTTCTTCTTTTTGTAAATCCCGATTCGATCAAAGAGACCATTGTATTGATTGATTTAGCATCATTTGAAGTGAGAAATATTTGATTTTGAATTATTCCATTAATTCTACCAATCTTGAATTGTTTTTATTACTTTAAAATGGAAAAAAGCATCTGTCATATATTTCGCAAGAAATTGTATTCAAGTAGTTTTGTAATTTTATGTTGTCTACTATTTCAGTAGGTATAGGTACCACAATTTCGTTATAGTTAGATTGAAAAGGTCATTGTAACGCACCTTGCACAGCCTTTTTCACGACGACAGGTTCAGATTCTCTGTAAAATATAGTCGTCAGATTAAGACGTCACGTTGAGTTTGTAAATGACTGTTATCAATCACCACATACGATTTATTTACTTAGTTTTATGGAACAGGCCCAATATGCATCGCCTGTTACATATGAATCGGATGTATCTGATAACGAGTTCAATCATAATTATATCTTGCATAATAAATGAAAACGCCATAGTTATTTAAAAATGGAATGAGGTCACCATCCCTACAACATGAAAAATAAGCAATTCTAACCCATTTTATGACAAAATAAATTGGGAAATGTAAAAGTATAAAAATCTCGGGTGTATAACGGCAAATTACAGGGGCCTTCAGTGCGTCGTCCACATTTACTTATAGTGGAGTCAATAGAGAAAAAAAATCGATTTCGTGACTTAACAAAAAATCAACTGTGAGATCACACAAATAAAATGTCAGGTATTATTTTAATATTTTTTCAACAATTGGTTGTTAATTCGTTGTAAACAATTAAGCCTGATTGTAAAGAATTAAGGCTGATGAATGCATGTTTTTGGTTTTTGCTTATATGTACATGTAAACTAAAGGAGCAGTCTCTTTGACATTACCAGAAGAATTCTAGGAAATTTTAGACTTTGATTAATTCCATCTGATCAATAATACCTCAGCAAATCAATTTTCCATTTATAAGCCGTTGAAATGAGTGATAAATGAAATTCGATCGAGCAGTTGGTTTGCTGTTAAGATTTTTGAAAAACATCTATAAATTGACATAATTATTACTATTATTGGTATCGGAACAGAAACTATTATATCTATTGAACGCAGTTTCATGACAGCTGTCTATGCCGTGCTGATGAGAAGCAACCAATTCGAAATCGAGAGATCCGCGTCGGATTGTTTAATTGCAGTTGAAATCCTTAATTGAAAAGAATTTTGCCAAACATCTATGAATCGCACAATTAATTTAAATTAATTAGTAATACAAACATGCTACAGATAGCATTTACTAAATATTGTTTGGAATCTTTAGCTGCAAATATAGTCCAGTTCAATGTTTTAGTATTTCTTATCATGTGCGTATACGTAGTTTTATTTACATTTACAAAAAACCTAAAAGCTTTTGAATATTTCATTCCCACCAGTTAGCAATGTAAGTAGGCGGGCAGTCCCTCCAGACTGTAGCCTCCTTCCAGGAATCGTGGGAATGAGTGAGTGATAGTTAAGGTGAAAAAGATGAGACAGACAAAATGATGACAGAAAAAAAGGGAAGATTATCAGAGGATTTTTACTGCCCCAGCATTTGCTTAAGTTATCCGAGGAAACTTGGACTAGGGCAGACGGACTCAAATGCTAAGCAGTGATCTAAACCTCTAGACCATGCTATTCGGCACGGTGATGACGAATTCCCTCCCGGGTACTAGCGGAGTTCCCTTCCGTTCATATCAACTCCGATAATTAAGTTAACGACTACTTACCGATTTTATTTATCGAAAATAACTATATATATTTATAGTGCACTTCAGTACTTCAGTAAATTAAAGATAAAATAATTTCAGAAAGAAAACACATATCAGTTATGAAATGTTTATTTATTTAATTTTAAAATGGTTTCCTACTACCTTAACAAATTCAATGTTTGGAAATTCGTCTGCGTCTAGCTTTTTGATGCAATCATCCAGAAAAACTTTATTAGTTTTAGTTTGTCTTGTATTTGACTAATAGAAGGGTAGTGTGATACAATTATTATTGTTATTGTGGTGTCTATAATATATGAATAATATCAAGATTAATATGTGATGTGAGGCTGTATTATTTAAACAACTCTTTATGACTTTATAGTGGCAATTAGTACTCTAGGTCATCCGCCGCTGTTGGGAGGCAATTGATGCATAATTAGGAGGGAATTTGACATACCGAAAATTTTAACCCTAATTAAAAACAGGTATATGGGAGGGAACTAGGTATTATCCATTCGGTATTTACATTTACAATTAGTCAACCTATGAAATAAATAGCCTCTATTGGAACGGACGGGACGGTTCAGTTTTATTCGCTAGTTCGAAAGTTAGAGTTACGATTTTGTAATTTTGTTATAGGATTTATAGGATGGCAAAAAATCATAAGATTAGCCGATTATAAATGTCTTTTGTAATGAAAATAACTGGTTATTAAAGTACCTAAGGAAACGCCTATTATTTAATCACGTGAGGTGCCTTTAAAAATTGGACTGCTCTCCCATCTGGTAATTTATTCCATGTAATTAATAGGCGCCCCTTTACAGCATTGCATACTCAGGTATTTATTTTTAGAATGATGAAGGCATGAGGTGTTTGGTTTTAAGTTTAAATCTAATTGCATTTTACTGAACCCATTCAAGCACTTTTGAATTTATGCAATTAGTAGCACCCTCTTAATAATTATTAAGGGACGAAAAAGTAGGGAAAGAGCGAATATAAAGATAGGAGACGAAAACTTAGAAGAAGTGGCTGATTTTAGGTATCTAGGAGGTCAGATAAGTCAGGATGGATATAGGGATATAAAGCAGAGGATAGCGCAGGGTCGTGTCGCCTTTAATAAACAGAAGTCACACTTCTATGTTCGCGAACGGTTAATTTAGAAATTCGAAAAAGGTTGTTAAAGGTATATGTTTGGAGCACAGTGTTGTTTGGGTGCCAAACATGGACAGTGGGTGCGGCGGAAAAGAAAAGGTTAGAAGCGTTCGAAATGTGGTGTTATAGGCGGATGATGAGGATAACGTGGGTAGAAAAAGTTAGAAATGAAGAGGTATTGGAAAGAATAGGAGAACAGAGGACTCCATGGAAGTCAATAAAAAAATAGGCGAGATAGATTGGTATGACACCTTCTCAGGCATGAAGGTCTAGTCAGAGACATATTAGAGGCAGAAACAGGAGTTAGGAGGGGTAGAAGTAGACCTAGATTAGGTTACTGTTCGCAAATAGTTAAGGATGTGTGCTGTCTTAGGACTGACGACCTTATGATGATGAATAATTTTAAGATATGATATATTTTCAAAAATGTTCAGTTAACAATTTTTTTATAATCCATGAACATCTAGCATCAAAACAATAACTTTATTTATTATAATCCAGATGTTCACCTTGACACCGTGAAGTTTCGAAAACAACTTGCTTTTATTAATTGTTCGAAACATAATTTATAACACCAGAGAAACGTTACAACAGAAAGTTTAGGCAATATTAATATGTAAATTAAGATCTGGTTATCATAACGAAACTCTTAATGGTCGTTGAGGCTAAGTGGATATCATACAATCAAGTCCGCATTAAATAGCATTTCAGTAATGGATTTTTAAAAGGAATAAATAGGATATGGTGCACACAGTAACTAATTTCGTCAATTCTCTCAAGTAGTCATGGGCAATTATTCTGAATGTAAAATATAACGTTATTAGGAAAACAATTATTCTAAAATAATTTGATTAAAAGAGATTTACTAGAAAAAAAATCTAGACGGTACGCATACT